TATACTAACTCGAGGGAGGGCATGGGCAGGCCTGGGGACAGAGGCTTCACTGACTCTTTTCAGTGAAAGCCTAGGGGCAGGGCTGGCTCAGCGTGTGGGCAGACCACGTGAGCTCTGGCCAAGGCTACAGCTCCACCTGGGAGGAGGGGGGTGAGCAAGATACCACAAAGTCCCATGGGTGGCAGCAGAATGTAACCTATCATGAGTTGCGATGGGATCTGTACAAATGTTCATTATGGCACTCTAACTTGCAGCACTGAAGTCTGATACCACATCTATCCAGGGTTATCATAGAGCAGGATCTACCATTTTTTCAGCACTCTGTAGTTTGACCATCTGTTCAGTTATGGTGGTAAAGCACTGCCTGTGCACTTTCTGTGCAATAAGTGTAACTTCTTACCCGGCCATAGAGACTAGCTTGTTCAGAGGCATAAGCTTTCATAGGGAATGACCTACTTAGTCATGTACTGAGGCAACCAATTTCAGCATCTAATGAAATATATTGTTGTTTGCAAAATCTTGTCTTTCTGAATTAATTAATCTCTAAACTGCCTGTACATGAGCATGGAGGCTGCTCCAATGCACTGTGATTACAATGCATCAGAGCAGACTCAACTGACTCTGCTGGAGTGTGGTAATTACCACACCCAAGCAACCTCCCATGTCTTGTGTATCAGCATCAGTATACCACAATTTTGAAATGCAGGGATGCTGATACACAAGATGTTGCCGTGCTTTTTATGAGCTTTTTATCCCCAACAGGTTTGTAGGTGTTCAGTGCCCTCAATCCCTAGTGGAGTGACAATAGAGCCAGGTATGGTTCAAGGACCTTTATTCAGCACTTCAACTTTATTTCTTTACATATAACTAATGAAGCACATCTTCATCATTCCTTGCCCAGATAACCTAGGGCTTCCTCTCAAAGACCCTAGAGATTTCTGCTCTACAGGTCACATGCCTAAGAGTCATTACTAGGAAAGAAATGATCAGTCATATGTGAGGTTAAACCCAAACAGCTTCAAAGGAGCCAGTCACCCTGTCACAGGTGGTCCATTAGTGTTAGGCACATCAGTGGGGCACACTGCTGTTTCCTATACTATACCAATGTTGTGCATAAAGGGAGGACCTCAGTTATCAGGGTTAACAACCCAGGATACTTTTCTTGCTTGAATTGACTTTATGGCACAATCTGCCCTTTTTCTCTCAAGATGAGGCATGTGATTGTGGGGTTTCAAATTATTTCAAGTAATGAAGATGGTATATGGGTATGCTAATCTCATCATTTAATCCATGTTACTGATTGAAAAGAACTCTTACATATAGGAGAGGTGTTAATTAAGAGATGTATAAAATGATCTGAGACAAAGAGTCCTGGGTTTCATACACATGTCTCTCTCTCAGTGGTTTTTTTGTTAGTAGTCTTTATACATTTGGGAACGGAATATATGAATATTGTTCAAAATAGAAAATCAAGATTCCTTGGCTACAGCAGTTTATAGCTTGCACACACACACACACGTTAAAAGAACACTCAAAATCTCTAATAGAACAGTGAAGGCCAACCTTTTTGACAGGTATGCCCCTCACCCTCCCACAGTGCCACTCCAATCCCCTTCCCCTGTCTGATTTGCTGCTCTGGCTTCTCTTCCCTCCCCTACTTCTCTCTTCCCCCCTCTCTACCTGACCTGCCAAGTGCCACTTGTGGCATGTGCTCTGGGTTGGCCACCCTTGTAATGAACATTATTAAAGTGCCAAATCAGGCATTGAGAAATGAGGAAATGCCAAAATAAATTTGGCCGACATAGAGCTTGGAGCCTACACCCTGAAAGCCCCATTCCCCACCCCACCAACCTCCCAACTATAGGCTGCCTGCTATGGACCCGGAAGCTTAGACCCTGAGACCCACCTTCCTTCCTCCTCACATCCCTTACCAGATAGGGTTTCCAGATTCTTCAGCCACCCGGCTCACTGGACTGGCTGATTCCTAAGGTAGCTAGGACTCTAGGTTATGGGAGTGAGAAGCTTCCTGACTTGAGAGTCTGCACATGGGGTCTTTGGCCCTGGGGAATTCTTCATGGCAGGGTCAACCCAGAATCATGAATACTTTCTGGAAGTCCCAGCTCCAAGGGAGTCCATAAAGGAGGTTTGTTACATTTGCCTTTACTCTTGACAAACAAATGTCAGTATTTTCTAATGAGAAAATATTTCATTGGAAAATTCTGACCAGCTGTGTAAACAACCAGGGCCAGATTAATCCATAGGCAAACTAGGCACATACCTAGGGCCCTAAGTGAAGGAGGGGGGCAGTTGTGCTTATTTTACATATTAAAATAATTGAGTGAATGAAGTAATATAAATATGCAGTATTAAGTAGGGGCCCACGAGTTGGTTTGCCTAGGGCCCACTAAAGGATTAATTTGGCCCTGTGTACAACCATATTCGCTGCCCTCCCCCCCCCCAACAGGTTAATTCTGGGTACTGAATGAGGTAGGAGTACCAAAGAAAACTGTTTTGTGAGCATGTATTTAAAAAGTGTATCAATGCATTTGTACATTGGGCAGATTAAGTGTTTAAGTGTAACTTGATATTATGTTTTATTTTATGGCAGTGACATAAGTGTATATTCAAGATAATGCCCCTCATTTTGTTAGTTGGTGTACAGTAGCAGAACAAAAAGACAGTGCCTCAAAGAGTTTTACAATCTCCATCACCATCTAAATTACAGTACCATTCAATATATTCTGCTCCCACCTTAAAGCCCCTTATACTTCTAATAAAGAGAGGTTTGTATAATTAGAATCAGACCCACTGCATTCATTATTTTTAAAATTAACATAATAAATAAACCTCTTGGTCTGACATGATCCACATCTTCATTTTCAAGTCTGGTTACCCAGATTTTAATATAAAGTTATACATCCCAGAGCTGGTCACTTACAAATAGGATATGGCAGGACACTTTTTTTTACATAAGACATACTTATTAAGTCATTTCAGAATCAGTAACTTCCGCTCAAGCTTCAGTGACTTTTATTATGCCAATTCCATGTTAATAAAAAATCACACTGAGTAAGGGTTTTCTTGTACTTCTTTTGGCATAGATTTGATTTCAGTTAAATAGTATGATGACACATAGGAGTCCCATTCAGAAGTCATTGAATCTCAGTAGAAAACTCCCATTTATAAAATTACAGTGAAGGGGGAAATAATCATTCATTAAATCCTTCAGAAATAGTAACATTAACACAAGTATGTGAAACTAACAGAAACAAGCAAAAATCAAGAAAATGTGAAGTTATTGCATAAAAACACAAGCATAGACCTTTAAGATAGTCATATTAGATCCATATTATGCAGATATTAGAGCAAGTACCTGACGTGCCTTGAATTTTGTGATATAAACATTTCCCATGGAGAAGTGAACTGTTACACCCCATAAATTCTAAATGGAAAGAATATATAACCATTACCTATTCCAAAGGAACATGATACACACCGACATTAAAAGATACTTTTCCCTTGTTCTCTATAATAATCAGACTTTTTTATTACAACTTAAAGGTGTTAGATTGAGAGTACTAGAAAATGAAGTCTACTTTTTTTCTACAGAACAGATAGGACATTCACCCACCCACCTTCACATTCAACCACCAATGTACCTCATCATATTGCTTCAGGATTCAATTTCAGGCAGCAAAAATCAATCCATTTCTGCAGACCCTGTAAACAAACTTGCAAATTAATGTCAAATTGGACAAAAGTTTTGTGATAGAGGCACTCTGTCACAAAGAAGCAAACAGGTGCCAAAAGTACATTTCACATAAACTACTGCTATTAGAGTTAATACTTAGCTGTTACTGATCTGTATTCAATCTTAAATTATCTTTCTGAGCTAAAAGAATCTGTATCCCAGCATTTTTCTCCCTAAACTCTTCTGTCTCCCCTCCCCCTGCACACACATGTGGTAAGAAATCATTGAGTGCTGGCTGGTCTACACACATGTTCAATTTTCATCTCCAGACTACTTATGGTAATACAGGTCGCTACAGTAGAAGTGTTAACCAGATGGATACAAAAAACAAAACTCACCTGGTTTTACTGCAAACTCAAAGCTCAGAGTGGATTTGAAAAAATTCCATTTTTGCTAATTTCATTATGATGCAGTGTTTTCTTATTACAAGGGTGTAGGTTGTAGCCGTGTTGGTCTACGGACATAGACGGACAAGGTTCTTTGGGTAAATCTGATCTTTTATTAGACCAACCCAAATAGTTGGAATAAAAATAAAAGAATTTTTCCAACTATTTGAGTTGGTCTAATAAAAGGTATCAGATTTACCCAAAAAAACATGTTTTCCTATTTATTCTTTATTGCCAAATTAATGATTGCATTTCAGTGGCATCTCTGAAGTGAAGCCTGTACTTCCAGATTCAGAATGGAAAGCATGATAAAATGGCATGACACAATGAGAGCTGTAAATCTTCTTGTAAATCTTGGACAACACTGACAGTGCTGGGTGAAATCCTGATCACACTGACCTTTGACAAAATCTCATGGATTTCATTGGGAGCAGGATTTGACCTAAGGTCTGTCTGGGACTTTCCTGGGAGATCACAGAGTTCTAAGTTTTTTTTAGCTGTTGAGTATTTTGATTTATGTTAACTCATGGGTCAAAGCAGGGTCCCAGTATAATATGTCTGATGAATTGTGCCTGAAGCAAAACGGAAGTGCTTGTTTTAACTGTTTTGTGCTTAGAACTTGAGCTAAATATTTAAAAACTAAATTAAAAATGGATTAAACACTGTCATGTCATTATACATTAGTTTATTATTAATTATTTATAACAGCATACTTCATATTATCAGGAACACATAACAAGGTGTGGGTAAAATCTGGGCCCCATCCAAAAACCATAGAAGTCAGTGGTCTCTGAACTGGTCTTTTATGTCACAGTGGGTTTTATTTGCTAGATGTTTTTTTAATGATGCCTTGTGTATTTTAGGAAGCAGAATGTGCCTACACCCTGTTCGTAGTTGCTATATTTTGGCTCACAGAAGCTCTGCCCCTGGCTGTTTCAGCATTGCTTCCTGCACTAATGTTCCCAATGTTTGGCATAATGGCATCCAAGCAGGTAATCTTCCCTTTCCTCTCCATTTTCTTACACTGCATAAATTAGTCATCAATTGTATAATTGCCAAAGAAGGAACTGTGTTATATGGTAGTTTTGTTACCTGTCTCTTACTACATGTTTGTAGAACATCTACTGGAATTCAATCGGCCTGGGCCTTGTGCTTTTCTGTCATGGTGTGGTCCCTTAGCCTTTCCACTCCACCAGGTTATGGGGGCTGAGGCTTTCCAACACCCCATCCTCACCTTTCACTGGGGAGGCACTGGTGTGGCATTTCCTGAGGATTGCCCCACCACAGGCAGCCCCACCACACCATCCAACACCAGCAGGGTGAAGTTTTAGGTCATGACCCAGAACCAGGAGCTTCCTCCATGCCCATAATTCCTACCCTGTCCACCAAGTGTTCTGGCAGTAGCAGGACTCCTGCTGGGAGGTGTTCACCCTTTGGCTTCCTAGTTGCAATGGCTGGCCCTGCTCCCTGAGCCAGATCTTATACCCATGCTGACCAGCCCTCCACCAATCAGGCAGCCTCCTGACTGCCATGTGACTGCTTGATTGGGCCTGCTCCCACCTGCAGCCTGGTCTGCAGCCTGCACAAGCCCTTAAAGTGGCAGGCACCCAAAAATGCTCTGCCACATGGTGTATATTCTATACATATTCCCAAATTTACTTTTGCTGAAACTGAGATTTAAAAAATGTGATCATATCAAATAGTGATGAATAAAAACCCCACCCATTTAGTTAACAAATCTGTTTGATTTCAGGTGGCATCGTCTTATTTCAAAGATTTTCATCTGCTGTTAGCTGGAGTAATTTGTTTGGCAACGTCAATAGAAAAATGGAATTTGCACAAGAGAATAGCTTTGAAAATGGTGATGCTGGTGGGCGTAAATCCTGCCTGGTATGTACTAAATACTATAGCAAAAGACAGTAATGTTCATAGAAAATTTTGTATCGTGGAAATAACAGCCCACAGAGGTGGGGTATTATTTATTCAGAGTGGAAATCCAGGCCCTCATTGCTGATGAAATAAAATGGATATGTGAAATGCTTTGATTGAAGTATAGTAGGTGAAACTTTATTCTTTTGCTGAAATTCTAATCATAGGGATAGTGTGGATAAGAATGAAAATGACTTTAATGCCACCAGCGTTCAGAATTGCTATGCAGCTTTCAGAACACAGAAAGCTTACAAATCTCTGGGTAATTTGGGGTTCCCATTTCTTAATTTATTGATAATAAATTACAAACCTGAAGCACACAACTGAAAAGCTATGTCATGCGTTCATTGTTAATTTCTAAATCAGTACTACTTAAAGTATAATAGGCACTTTCCAAATATACAGTTAAAGGCCCTTAAGATTTCACAGTTCAAAGGAGGAAAATGAAATCTGTAGGACTGAAGAGAAGGAAAAAATTATACTTTATAAAAATTAGATTGAGGGCATTAATTCTTTATAATTGGCCTCTCCTTAGGTGGTATTTGTGAAAAAAGTTACCAAATAAAATTGACTCTCCTCTCACTTGAATAATGCATTGAGGGAACTGAATGGACATGTTGCTCATTTAACATAAACCAACAATATTGCATGAAATGAATATTCCACTCTTTCGTTCTGAGCAGGAAGGACAAGGGTAGAGCAGAGGTCTACATCTGCATGCCAGAAAGATAGGGCAGTGAACAAACTGGTGGTATGGATCTGACTTCCCACAATATGAAGTGCTTTAAGAAGCAGAAAGGGATGGAAATTAAAAGACTTGAAAAACAGAAATCATAGATATCAAAGGTACAAAGGGCCTGCTAAATCTAATCTCTCTTCCTGGCAGAACAGGATCGTTCTTATTCTACAATGCTTTGTCAGGCCCACTATTAAATAATTTACATGATGGCACTTACATTATTTCCTCTTTTGATAAGAATTCACCATTAGAAAAAATATTCCTTTACTACCTTGTTCTATTTTCTCCTATTCACTCTTAGCTCTATGCCTTGAGCTATACATGTTTAGTAATTTTAAGCTTCCTGGATATTTAGTCTCTACATTATGGCTGAAATCTTGCAAGCCAATCTTTATCTGAGTTCTCTGCTGGACAGTTTCCTATATAGGACTGAAATGTGCCCTCAGAGCATGGAGAGTCTATGGAGCCATTCTACAGCCAATACTGCCACCCTGGGGGCAGCAGTAGTTTCTTTCCAACACAGTATGAAAGCACAAACTCAGTCTGCAGCTAAGGTGGGAAGATCCTGTAGTAAAGGACCCTCCAGCATAATTCTCATCTCCATCCAACTCATAGCCAGTTCCACACATCCATAGCAAGCTGTTATACAAAGGCCTTCTTTGTGCTGTACACCCTGCTCTTCTAAAGCAGTAGTCAGCAGCATGCAGGCCCTGCCCTTCCTTGTAATAATTTTTCTACTTTTAGTAGCAGGGCAACCTGTGCAATCACAGAGGCAGAGAGTGAATCTGCCCTTTTATGTTCATGTCTGAATTCCTTCCAGGTTTGTAAGAGTATATAAAGGCATCCAAAAGTAAATGCTGTATTTTAGGTACAGTGGTGCCAACAGGATGCAGAGAGATGGCAGCTTCAGTTATTCAGTATGTAATACTACTTTGTATGTAGCCCAAAATCACACAGGACAGAAAATCCTTCATGGTAAACCAGCAATACATGTTTTAATTGAACAGGCATACCCTTTGCATATTGATCTGACCTGAAATAAAGGGTACAGTTGTGCCCTGAGTCTCAATACAGACACATTTGGGAAAAACCTCAACTTTGTTTGTATTGTACTTAAATTTGAACGTGTGCTATGTTCAGCCTTGCCCTGCAACCCCACATGTCGGCTGACAGCTAAGGCTGGAAATGTGCTGGCTACAGGGGGAGTCCATTGGCTCCCAACATGCCAGTATTTTTAAAAGCCTTGTCCTGCACCTTGCATGCTGTTTGTCAGGATCAGGCAGAAGGGCAGCCATGAGGTCTTGGGATATCTATACATGTACTGCAGAGTTTGAGGCGGGGGAGGGCACTTTAATTAGAGCGGCTCCAATAGCCATGTATTCAGTATCCTGCACTTCAAAATGGCGATGGTGGTGCTTTAACTAAAGCTCATTCAATGAGCTTTAGTTTAAGTGCCCCTACTGCCATTCTGAAGTGTGGGGATGCTGAATACACATAAAGTGGAGGCTGCTGGAGTTCACTAATTTGCACACTCCACTAGACTCACATTAGACTTGATTAATCGAGTCTGTTCCGACATTTGCTAATTATCATGCATTGGAGCAAGGTCCGTCACATGTATAGGTGCCCTTGATGCCCAACAGTCACACAGTTCCCCACATACCAACACTCATGAGTTTGGAATTTGAAGAATTGTATGCCCCGTCCAAAAAATTGTGTGCCCTTCCATGTGCATCTGGCATGGCAGGCTAAGTGCTTTTTAAGATTGGGGATAAAGTTCCTCAGATCCCTATTGCTTGATTATATTAACATCTGCAACAGGCCTGTCAGAATTGCCTTTGTCCCATTAGCAGCTTGGCATAACTTTAGAGCATCCTTAAAGCTACCCTAAATCACATCAGGAAACAGGAAACCTCCTCTGGCTAGCCCAGGAACAAGAGGTCACAAGATGGCATCAGGCAACTTTTGCCCAGCCACTATATACATCAAGTGCATCTCGGTTGCAGCTGAGGATATAGCCCATAGGAACTAGCCATGTGAGTAAGGTAAACAGGGTTCTTTTTTCTGTGTTCGATGGCAGAAAGGAGTTAATTTTACTGATAATTACGAATTAAGGCATCATCCAAGATTCCATATAGAATCTATCTTAAATAACAGCAGATGGACTACATCAGGAAAAACGGAGGTTCACTAGGTCAGGACATGTTCTGTTATTTTTTTTGGATCTCTTTTAGAGTGAATCATCAGCGCTTAATCTCTGAAGCTTTTGGGAACAGTTTAAAGCTCCAATGTACTGAACAATCATTTGAACATCTGTCTATCAAATGTTTTAAATTAATGAAAATGTTTTTTCAAAGGAGTTGTCAATGAATATTTTTTCTTTACTTCTTCAGCACTCTGTGAGCCTTACTTATATTGCATCTATTTACAATGCAAATCCTTGTTCAAAGCTTCTATTTTGCTAAGCCACCACTCCCCCTGCACTAAAATTCTCCCTGAAAACCAATTGCTTCAACAAGTCCTATAAAATACTAATCCAAAACATGATTAAAATCAATGCCAGTCATGTTATTGACTTCGATGTGCTTTAAATCAGGCTCTATATTAACAGGATTTAAAATAAAAAAGTGCAATTCTGTATCATCCATCAGTTGTCTATTCAAATATACAGAGAAACAAAGCAGAGAGAGAGAGACTATCTATTGGTCCATAGTCTCAATTTAGCAAAATTTCTTTATTATGTCTCTATCACATAAGAGCAGTTTAGTTTTCAAATGGAAATATTACCATGAGTCATTAGGATGAGAAATGCTAGAGGAGTAGCTATGATTTTTTTTTAAATACTCCAATTATTTTATGAGAGGGAAAAAAATCTTCTCTCCTGTAGAGTAATCCTTATAACTCCTGTAATGCCTTTCATCCAGAGAAGGGTTCCAAAGTGCTTTATGAACTATATTAACTAGTTGCAAATAATGATATGCATTAGATTCACTTCATCTGCTCCCAAAATGGTGCCGCCACTTCTCAATATAAAGCATGGCAATTGCTTAATGGTATTCATTAATAATGAATAAAACAGGAGTAACTGCTAACATCAACAGTGTTACTACCAAAGTGTAAAATCAGTATAAGTGAGATCAGGATCAGTCCAACAATCTAGAATAACTTATGTGATCCACCTTATTATATGTATATTATATTATATTATTATATGTTTTATGCATAGCTGAAAATCTAATATTTACTGTAGCACAGGTAAGCCATAGTACCATCCGGGGCACTGGTTCAGTATTCACTGAAAAGGAAGAGTGCCACCCACCCAACTGATTCTTTCTGCAGCACCTAGAATCTTACCTATAGAACCACTGGTCTAAGCAATAGCAAAGTTCTACATTTTTAGCTAGCTTATAAAATATGACAAGATTAAAGTGATCTAGTCCTCATTTGAGTGCTATATTCTGTCTGAATCTGTAACAAACCTATGTGTCAATACATCTCCAGTCAAATATCCTACAAATTGTAACATGATCATTTTAAGTGTATAATAATATAATAATCTGTGTGAATTATTTTATTTTACTGTTTAGTGCTTTCAAAATGCTATTTTTATGATGAAAATGTTTCCATGTATATTAAATTGGGTGCTGATAGCAGAGGTTAACATAACAGGAACACATTGAAGTATCTCTCATTTCAGGCTTACACTGGGTTTCATGATTAGCTGTGCCTTCTTGTCTATGTGGCTTAGCAACACCTCTACTGCTGCTATGGTGATGCCAATTGTAGAGGCTGTGGCTCAGCAGATCATCAAGGCTGAAGCAGAAGTTGATGCTTTAGAGATGACTTATGCGAATGGATCCACCAATCAGGCCTTGGAACTTGATGGTATGCACAAAATGCAATTTTTATATATGTCCATGTTCTTCAGCTCTAAAGGGCACAGGTACATGGAAGTTAAATTAATAAAGAAACATTAATGCCATTCTACAAGACAATGATAAAGCCTCACCTGAAAAATTTGAGTGGCCCATGCGTACAAAAGTTGAATTGAAACTGGAACAGATATGTAACAGGGCTACTAGAATGATCAGAGCAATGAAGAATTTGTCATTGAAGAGGGAACTAAAAAAGCCTGGTTTGTTTAGCAAAAATGAAGGCTTGACAAGTGATGTGATTACTCTCATAAATTTGTCAGGAAGTAAAAACCAGGGAGGAAAGAGAGCTGATTAAACTGAAGGGCAATGATGCTCCGAGTAATGGGTAAAACCTATACAAATAAATGCAAGCTGGTACTTAGAAGAAGATTTCTATCAGAGGAATGAAATTCTGGAATAGCTTTCCAAAAGCAAGGGTAGAAGCAAACAGCTTGCTGTTAAAATGAAACTTGAAACATTGGCAATCTAGATTATGTAAAATCAAACTATCTAACCGGTTTTAATAGGGAATTGATAAATTTATGAATTACATTGTGGTTGTCTGAAATAGCAGAGAACTGGACAGGAGGTCCCTTCCAGTCCAATCCCCATAAGTATTTATCTTTCTTTCCCTTGATTATGTTACAGAAAGTATCAGTGAATGTGAAGCCAGTGACTGGAAAGAGAAAACAAAACAAGCTAATGGGTAATGCTTATTGATTTCATGATTTGTATTTTAATAATTCCTTTAAATGAAATTGATCTTTTATTGCAATAAGCTATTTTTTTTCCAGGTACAACAATGATATGGATCACACAGTGTGTAAGATTGAAAAGGAAAAGGTATTTAAGATATGATTATTGAAAAAAATAATGTAACTAGCATTTTAATTTAAATCTGGAATTTATACCATTCCTTTCACAACATTATTTGAATGATGATTTAATATGAACATATTAAAGTGTACGTGTGTATGCTCCTCACAGCCAAAAGTACTGGAAAACATGAGAAATTTTGAAAGGTGACGGACTCGTAAAAAACCTTTTTTTTTTTTGTATAATGTGGGCGAATCCACACATACGCATTTACTGCACAGTAACTGAAATTACTGTGCAGTAGGGTCACATGTCTACACTTGCATATGTGCATGCCCATACCGCACAGACTGAACGTAAATTTGATACCTGCATGATGCAGGTATCAAATTTATGCCTGATTAGTTACTGCACATTAACGCACGTGTAGATGCCTTACTGCACAGTAACACTGTGTGTGTGAACTGACTTGGGATTAACTTTAGTCCCAAATCAGTCCACACACAGTGTTAATGCACTTTAGCACCTGCATGTGTAGATGTTCGCCTATTCCTGCTTACTGCACCGTAATTTACTGTGCAGTAAATTTAAGCCAGCGTAAATGTATGTGTAGTTACACCCTGTTTCATGTAAGATGAACCTTTTTTTGTATTAGTACAAATGAATATATAATCTTACTCAGCAGAATCCCCCACCAGCTGAAACAGGAAGGAGATACAGAACCCAGAAAGACCATATGATGTGCAAAGTTATGTGCTTATCTGTTGCTTATTCTTCTACTATTGGAGGACTGACTACAATCACAGGAACATCCACAAATTTGATTTTTGCTGAGCAGTTCAATACGTAAGAAAATATACCAAATTCTCTCTACCTTTGTTAACCGGAAGCCTGTATTTTGTTCTTTTGGCAGGTCTCCCTGTGATAGTCACTATGATATGACAGAACTTGACATTATACATTTTTTATTTTGGGGTGGTTGGGTGTTGCCATATGTAAGATATACAATAAGATGCTATGGTAGCATTCTATTTGAAAACCTTCCGTTGCCTTAGGAAAGGATGCTAGTAATCATCTCACAAAATACAAAACTATGGACACATTGTGTAATCTTTTCTGTGACTTAATCTTGAATAACCCTCCTGAAATGGATGAGAATTTTTGAAGAGGAGGTCACCACTTGGCATGAATGCCAGTCAAACAATCTAGCTATAACAGACTTCTGCTCATTGCTAAATAATTTGAACTAGGTTTTGATTTGAACTAGGTTTTGATTGCTCTTCAATTCTGAAGCATTTGTAATATCCCATTATCTTCTGGATAGTGTTTGGTATTCCTTTGACCGATATTGATAACCATTTTGACCATTTTCTTTATTATCTCAAATGTCTCCAGTGGGCTATCATGATTTATAAGTGCTAGAAATAATGGCTGGCTACCACCTACATCTTGTAAAAAATGGCATCACTAAAAATTAAGCATTTATAATAGGAAACATATCACAATTTAGGTTTTAAAACAGAAGAATAACAAAAATAACTACAACTTCAACTTAAATCTGTTTCTGTGCTTCATCAGCACAAAGATCTAAGGCCAGCCATATACTGCAAACTGAACACTCTTCTAATGTGGAGTCACCACCTGCTTCCTTGAGCTCTAGCTGAGGGGGCAAGGAAGATAGAGATGAAACATGATGGAATTCAGCCTGAAATACTTTTGTCCGACCCCAAATGAACCATTTTGTTTAGAGTAACTTACCCCTTTACCTTTTAAAAGCTGATTTATTTTTTCAACAAAAATCAGAAAGCTTCCTTTTAATATTTTCAGACTCTTCTTCTTCCTAATTTTCCCCTATAAGTGTTTATTAAACTTGACCCAAATTAACTAGCAGAATTGATCCCTTCAAAACAGGATTTTGGGAGTAATTTAATATTCATTAAAACAAATTACTGAGCTCTAACAAAAATTGTCGTACTCCTTTTCTTTTGGTATGTGCATCATGCACAGAAATGAAGAGAAATATAGATACAAAAAGCCTTTTCTATAAGATGGAGTTTACTCAGTTTATGAAAGGAATACGGGTTGGCCTCAAAACTCTACATGGAGGGTCATATGTTTTAGGCTGGAAAAGCAACTATTGCTTGGCTGTTGCTACTCCACATGCCCAGGAAAAGGGGGAAGATTTTGCTTTTAACATCATAATAGCCTGGCCAAAACAAGGCTAAACAGGTAGTACAGAGGGTGGAGTAGACAGTGCTGGAAGAGTATCTTGTGCAAATTACTTATCTGGGCTTTGTCATATATTAATTTAAGCATTTTAGGGAGCTGTTAACCCCAGGATTGTCCATTAAGATGTAAACTAGTTTTAAGTACCCTTTAGGCATCGAAGTTCTGCCACTCCAGGGTAGGTTTATCTGTGATCTATGTCACCCAACTCGTATTACAGTCATGTGTGGCCATTCTAGGCAACATGTCAGTGTAACACCCTGCCTGCCCCCACCCCTTCACTGCCAGCCCAGATTAGGCCTACCTTCCCCCACTGTTGTCCCCTGGATTGGGCCCATTGCCCCCCCCCCCACACAGACACACACACACCTGCCGAATGGGCCACCACCCCCATCTCCCTGACACCCCAGATCCCCACTCACTCCCTCCCCACCACCATAGCTCCTACCTCACCTGAGGCTGCTGGCGTTGTTCTGGAGGAACAGGCAGGGAACAAGAAACCACCTGCCCTGCTGCCACTGCCTTCCCTACCTGCTCCTCCGAAACAGCCCTCACAGCTGCAAGTGAGTCTGGGGACACAGGGTGAGGTGTGAGGGCTGAGGGGACAAAAGGGGGAACCCTGGGGGTGAGGGAGGCAGGGGGTAGCCCCATGGGTGGGGGAGCAGAGGGAAACCCTGAGGGAGACGTCATCATCCCACTTTACCCGGCCTCAGTGAGGCTGCAGCTGGAGTACTGCATCCAGTTTTGGGCCTCCCACTTCAGGACAGACCTTGATAAGCTTGAGAGAGTCCAATGGAGAGCCACCCATACAATCAAAGGCCAAGAGAGCAGCCCTTTCAAAGAGAGGCTGAGGGACATGGGAATCTTGAGACTGGCGGAGAGAAGGCTCAGGGTGGACTTGGTGGCAGCCTATAAGTATATAAGGGGGGTGCACCAGGAGCTGGGAGAACAGTTGTTCACCAGAGCTCCCCAAGGGATAACAAGGTCTAATGGCCACAAACTTCTGGAAGGCCAATTTAGACTAGACATAAGGAAAAACTTCTTTACAGTCCGAGTGTCCAAGGTCTAGATCAGACCCCCCCCCAA